CAATGTGGCCCGTTGAGGGGGGCCAATATGCTGCAGTGGCCCTCGGTGAAATTGAGTTTGACACCCCTGGTCTAGCGCATAAAATCCCACTAAGATAATTGAGGTTTGTCATTGTACAGTGACAAAATGTAAAAAAAAAAAAAAAAAAAAAAAAAAGTTGGGGAGATATCAACGCACTATAAAAAGCTTATTTATTTGAAGAAAAACCCTGACTAAATCTTGCTGCTTGGACAAGTTCTGTGACCCAACAGAATGCGAAAAGGAGCAGAAAGCCAGATGAGCAACTGGAAACGAGGGTCTTCAAGGTGAAGTTCTTCGGCCCCAAAGCAGGCTTCCAGCCACACCAAGAGGCCGTCAGTCAGCCCCTTACACACTGCATGATTGGCACTCTCTTAATTATGGGGGACTCCAGTGATGCCCAGAAAGAGGAAGTGGAACTAAAGTTGGAGGAGAAGTGGGGGTCCTCTTTGTCGGCCATCTTTGTTCTCTTTGTTGCAAGCCCCTGGCCTGGGGCTGCCGGTGATTGACAGCTGCGCAATAAACTCTGAGGAGCGTCTGACCTGCGACCTTAAACTCTCGCCTTCCCAGCCCCGCCCTCTTCCCTCCAGCCCATTTGCATGCTAATTCCTTGTTTACTGAATACGCCCTGCCGCCTTTGGCAATGAACTCTGGGCGAGGGGCTGCATCAGAGGGCCGATTATCACCTGCCAACAAAACCGTGGAGTTTGGGGAAAACGCAACAGGGGGTGCAACGCTGGGGGAGTTGCTGGCTCTCTAACGCCTGCACCTCGCCACAATCTGCTTTTAAGAGCAGATCGGTTGGAAATTAGCATTCTCCAACTTTATGTAAATCAGCCTTGAAACATATCACATCTGATTTCAAGCTCTAATGGAGGCTAGATTTTAATTACACACTGACATGATAGAAACACTAAGTATACACATGCTTCAGGATGGTGGACTACAGCCAGCAGTCTTCAGTGACAGATCTTTGCACATTTATGGAGTTTAGTGCCTATTTGGAGTTCCTCCATTATTAATAAGCCTTAATTGGCTCAGTTGGACATGCCAGCAAACTGAGGCCAAATTGAGAATTCCTTTTAACTTGATTGTAATGGAGAGAGGAATACAATTCAAATAATGGATTTTTAATAGATTCCACTGACACTCTCAAGTGTGAAGGACTCATTTGCCCAAACCTTGTATCAAGCTCTCAAAAGTATGGGTGGAGAGAGTGGGAGTTATCGGATGTTCTCTTTGCCTCGGCGTTCGAGTCGGCCTTTGTCACTGCCATGCAAACCATCTGCTTCTTCTTCATCTCTCAGCCGGTTCAGTAGTCCCACCACTGTCCACTCCTGCATTCTTTGCTTTCTCTCGTTTCTCAGCTCCTAACTACTTCCCTGCCTATCCCTCTCTGCAACTGTTTGCACCTTTCTTGGCCACCACTCCTCTGCAGCTTCTTCTCCTTCCTCCCTCTTATCCCCCTTTACTTTGTCTTTCTCCCTTTGTCTGGGTCTGAGAGGTCATTCTGCGTGGTGAGCAGTGTGATAGGTGATAAGCAATTCTGCCTGTGCCACTGTGCACTTTCAGCTCCAGCAGGACAAAGAGTGTGCTTGTGTTTGTGCATGTCACCATTGCCGTGCGTGTGTGAAGGCGAACAAGTATGACAGGGGTAGAGACAGCGTTATCTAGCTAAGATATGGCTGGGCTGTTGTGTCGCAATGCATTCAGACACTCCATCCATCTACGCCAGGCCGGCCATCAGCTATGGTAACCGCCAAAAAGACTTCCCTACATTCTTGCACACGCACTCACCTATAGCTTCACAAATACCATGAAGCGAAGGTGTGAAAGGGGACGAGGGGTTGATGGGGAAGTAGAGAGAGGAGGAGAGTGCCAAGGGCACAGGGAGAGAAATTTGGCCGGTGTTCTGTGACCATGCAGAAGCAGATAGAGAAGGATAGGGTATCACTCCCTAACCCCAAACACATTTACAGCTGACACCATGATTAATGAGTCTGGAGCTGTGCTGAAGGGCCTGTTCCTGGACCCATTAGCCCCCCAACACACCCCCATCCTAATGCCCAGCTACCTCTAACACTGCCTCCCCCTCCCCAAAGCAGGACCCAATCCATATGGACAAAACCTACCTCTACCATACAGCACACATATATTGTGTCTTCCGAAAGTGTTCACACCTCTGTATTTTTCTCCCTCATATTTATCATGTTAAACCACAAACAACAATGCATTTTAGTGGGCCTTCATTTGATAAACCAACATAAATCAGTACAAAACAGCAAGAAAAATGACGCATGATTTGAAGAGATAAATTGTGTTTAACCCCCTATGCCAACAGTTTGCAGAGCCACCTTTCCTTGCAATTGCGGCTGAAAGTCTTTGAGGGTATGTACCAGCTCTGCTGCTAGAGGCTTTTTGTCTTTCGTGCTAAGTAGCTCAATCTTAGAAAGATTGGACAGAAAACATTTGGGGACATTTTCAAGTGTTGTCACAGATGCCTAGTTGAATTTAGACATGATGTAAACCAAATCAGATCTAAACAATCCTACTACATCTCTAGGTGCTTGTTGTACTAAGTGGTTTTCTGCCAGGATTGTCCTGTACTTTGCTCCATCCATCTTAGCATCACTTCTGACTAGCTTCTGTGTCCCTACTAAAGAAATCCAAGATGCTGCCAGCATCAAGTGTCATGGTGAGGACCCAGTTTTCAAAGTGAGGTGTAGCGTTGGTTTCCTGCCACACGTAGCATTTTCCATGTAGGCCAAAACGTTTCATTTTGGTCTAGCCTCATCAGAGCACTTCCTTCCATGTTTGCTGCGTTTTCTACAAGGGTCTTAGCAAACTGCTATCAGGGCTTCTTCTGCTTCATCTCAACAATGGCTGCCTCTCTAAATAATGTTACTCTTGTCCAGCTTGTTGGATTTGATGGACGACATCGCAGTAATCAGTTAGCTGTTAAGTTTGAGCTCGTAAGAAACAAAATGTGAAGAATTTAAAAGGCTACTACGACTTTTGCAAGGCACTGCTTATACTCAATTATTGTACATGGTGTCAGCTGTAAATGTTGGCTGGTGCCAGAGACTGGTTAGTCCCCATGATCACCTTCCCTGAAATATGTAATTTATTATGATTTATTGTTAGATTTTTTTTACTGGAGACAGCAGAAATGAATGACCTTTCTGTGCCTCTAATAATGATATAACAGTAACTGTGTGTGTGTGTGTGTGTGTAAATGTTGCGAGTGTGGGAGCTGAGTTTCATTACAATCCCTCCCACCCATCTGAGTCCTATTTTAATGCTAGAAGAAGGAAACAGCTACATACTGAACGTACATTTGGTGACCACACCCTCCAGGTGAATGATATTGGGGTGGTCAAACTGGCCCATGATGCTGGCCTCCGACAGGAAGTCCCTCCTCTGCTTGTCGGTGTAGCCAGCTTTCAGTGTCTTTATGGCCACGCAGATCTCCCTCTTGCCAGGCATTTTCAAGCGACCGCTGCAGACTTCACCAAATTCTCCTGAGAACACACAGGCTGCATTCAAGATGTGGCGCAATGATAAATGAACGTTCTGATTCAGATACCATAAATCAAATCAAAACGTGTTTGTGTCTATGTGTATGTGTGTGCGTGTCTGCAGGTTTGAAGGGTTCCACTTTTAACATTGATCAGGGTCTTTTTAATCCCCTTTTGGCCTCCTCGTTCTCTTATCCATTGGAGCAGAAAAAGAAGAGGAAATGGATATTGATTCTTTCGCTTTATTATTTTGTCATTGGATGACTTTTCTCTGGCCACAGGAATAGCGCAGACAGAATATTTAGCTTGTGTTGATTTTTTTTTTTTTTTTTACTGCCTCGTGACTTCTCTTAAGGTATAACAAATGTCTTCTAGCATTGTTGTGATATTGCTCTAAAAATAAAGTGAAGTCTGAAAGCATTTAAAGAGTCCAAACGAAGCTTTTATTTTCCTTACCGATTCCAATACCTTTCTCGATCTTGATACAGGAAGCGTCAATCTCTTTGGCAAACTCGCGGACGGCTTGATTCGGGTCCTCGTAGGTAAAGGGGTCAACGTATATCCTGACTCCTGAGAAAAGAAAGGATGGAAGGGAAAGAAGCAAAAACAGAGAAAGAAAGGGTGAGGTTCATCCATTTAGGCAACTCTGCTCTCCACCCTCCATCTGTTCTTTATTTCCATCACGCTGCAGGCTACACTGCCTTCCTCTCTGGATCCTCTCCTCCTCCTCCTTTTCCTCCTCACTTCCCTCCATACCTCACTTCACACTGTGACTCTATTGCTTTTCATGTCATAGTGGCGGACTCTGATGAAGATGGAGCTCATTAACTTGAAATTCTTCTGGCACGCAAATAACAACGCTGATGACTTGATAATGAGGTGTTTGAAACATGTTAGCAAGCAAGTACATTAACTTCCAAATAGTTTGTTTTTCTCCCCATTTTATGGGACTCGTTTGCGGTTTAGAGTGCATGCACATGAGCACACCTGACAGCACTAATGGTTTTCAATTACAGAGCGCGTAGGTGGACGGCGAACTATGAGTTACCTTGGTGTAAGTGCTTCTCTTCGTCAGAGTCCTGCTTGGCCTTGCTGTATTTACTCCTTCTGGGGACAAAAAGGAAAACAGGACAATCAGTCATGTTAGGTTTTCAAAATATGTCACAATATATCTGATATTCAGAGTTACAGTCAGACTAGAAGTCAACGTGTCTCAGTTAGCCTGGAAGAAACTATAAGCAAGGCAGAATGCCTGACAGTATTCCTGAAGTTTTTGCTGCACTACATAAATACGCAAGTGAGCATGAGGTAAATCTAATTTTATTTATTTTGTTTTCCAATTAAAAAAAAGGCCTAATTTTGGCCTTAATTTGATTATCGGAAACAAAAGATTATTTGTTTTAAACATTTGCCTAAATACTGTAAACCACAGCATTTTCACCCTAGGTTGATGTTCTGTGAGAATACCATAAACAATACAGATTAATATTCAAAGAAATAGAATATATTTCAATAAATCAATTCATTAAGTGAAGCACATTATATAAATAAATTATATAAAGACTGATGTTTTGAAGCCTTTATTTTTCCATTATTATTAGAGATATAGCAATTAGAATATGTAGCAGATTTTCGATCACCGTTTTTGTAAATCTTTGACCTAAATAATAATGTATGTAGGTATAAAACTAGCATTAAAATAGTTTTTTGTTTTTAGCTTTTCCAGTGTGTTTATATTATGAGTAAAGAAGGGAGCATTTTGTGATGCTCCCTAAATAACTTAGATCTTTGCCACAACATTTAGATTCCAAAAAGCTACAGACTTCCAGTCCTGTATGTTCCATAAATAATAGAGGTTCAACGTTTGAAAAGAGAAAACAGAGCTATTTGCTATGCTCTGCTTAGCCGTCCTGTTATCTGTCAAAGTCTGACTCTCTTGCAGTCTGAATGAAGTCCAGATAAGGCTGAGTTATAGTCGTGCTTTTAAGTTCAGAGGTACCCGACCCGGTGCCGCAACAGTAAGCGAGGCCAGCGGAGAGGACGGCCCATTTGGCAGGAAGCCTTGTGCCCTGTTCAATGTGTCAACTATAAACCTAGCTTAGATCTTTTTGCTTCCTATGAAGGTACGTTTGAACACCATACTGATAATGAAAACACCTATCTTTCAGTCTTCTGTATTCTGAGGTTACCTTCTTGCATTTACCAATAACTGAAAGTTGGATTTTTAGCAACCAGCCAGTTGTCCTGTTCGGGTTACCAGGCAGAGCATCATTATTAAAAGGTGTACTTTTTGTTTTTTACAGGATTGATAGTGATATTCGGCTGGAACTGATCTGGAAGAACATTAAAGATGGAACAGCTTGAAGGACTTGAAAAAGGGACGACAAAAAGAAAATGCTCTAAAAATCCCTCCGGACGCCTGACATCTGTGTTCATATTGATGCACAGGTCAGTGGTGGGAATGACCACATGTGTGAGACATTGTCCCCGAGCAATGGTTGTGCAATGATGGTAAACGGCAACGTGATTGCAGTCCCTCCCTACAATCACAGGCTGGCCACAGCAGCACAATGACAGCGGCCATCGCATGCATATAAAAAAGGGCCGAGAGAACCACCTGCTTGGCTGGAGAGAGAGAGAGGCAATCACATGGAAAAAAAAGAGGACACACACACACACACACACACACACACACACACACACACACAACCAACTGCCTCTTTCAGTCATCATCATTCTCCACACCAACACACAGCAATGATCTAGTGTCCATATTAAGGCACACAAAGGCAGGAATCAACACACGTGACACTTATATTTCCTCTCTGTAGTCACACATGCAAAACTTTTTTTTTTCTTCCTGCATAAGAATACACACATTTACACCTTCAATACACAAACACACACACGTTGGGAGTGTGGTTAACACCCTGAGGTGAGACAGCCCATCTGCATGTAATCCCATCTGTGTGACGGCGCTTTGTCCTGCTGCCCGGTTAACACTCTGAGATTGGGTCACTGCAAATCCACCTGATGCCTCTCCATCTAACTCTCTCTGTATTCTTGCCCGTTTATCTCATTGTCCCTCCTGTTGCTCTTCCTTTTTCTTTTTCTTTCTCACTTCTATTTGTCTCTGTGTCATTCTTATATTTTTATTATTTTCCTGGCGGACAGAAAACCGCAGCAGGGGAAAATAACCAGCAGCCGTGATTGCCGCAGCTATAAGGGAGATAGAGGGAGTTGGGCGGGGGGGGGACAACAAGGAAGGAGAGGAGTTGGGGGGTGGATGCAGGAGACAGGGAGTGAGGGGTCGCTGATTGCATCTCTTCAGCTGTCGGGGCTGTCAATCACGTCTCCGGTGTGGCAAGTCATCACTCATCTGACGTGAGCCAGTTCTACAAGCTGCCTGGCGGTGCGGATGTGCGCATATTTGTGAATGACTTTCCTGACAGCTGCTTTTTCCGACCCCCGAGGAAGACATCCCTCAGCTGCAGGGAATGAGGAGGAGACAGAAAGCAGGAGGGATAGCGGAGGGGAAGAAGGGGATGACACTCACCTTCGGCTGATGACGAAAGCGCTGATGAGGATAATCAGAAGGACCACGCTGCCCACCACAGACACCAGCAGCACGGTGGAGTTTGCCCCGTCGCCTATAATGGGAGCTGGGACTGCGGCGAAAAGGATTTGAAGGGAGTGGAAAGAAGGGAAAGAAAAGAGAAGTAGAAAGTGAGGAATGTTAGAGGGAGACAAAGAGAAAAGTCAACATCATTATGCTTGACCGAGCTGCCGCGCATCAAAGAGCTGCTGTGCATTGTGTGTTTGTCAAAGTAACTGATCTCCTCCTACATCCTCCCCTATGCAGCACAGTGTTTGTTCCCCCTGCCTCCATTTTACAGTCCTCCCCGCAAAATTGGCTGCTCCGCATGCTTCATTGGGAGACAATGATGACCCATTAGGATGTGTGCTTGACCGTGTCATTATCATGTGCCGCTGTGCCTCTGCATCACAAAGAGGACACCTGGGTCTTTTAGTGCACCTCTGTCACTTTAATTTAATGTACATGCAATGAATTTTACAAGGTGACGGTGAATGTTAGGGAATAATAGACAGTTATTTGGTTGGACTGAGTACGCAGAGTTACTGGAATAAAAGGCTCACTTTGGTAAAACAGCAGCAAAGTCAAACTGATTTTATAGTCGTACAGAGAAGTGCAAGCAAATGTAACCACTGATTTAGAGCATAATGAAATCATCAGTTTCTTAGTCCTAAAAATCAATCAACTTTTTTAAAAAAAATGCCATATTACATATTTATTAGGCATTTAATAAATGTCAATAAATGCTCGCCTCGATGTGTGGGAACGACAAACAGATGTGGGTCATTCATCCCTCCACCTTTCCATCCATTTGCAGTTTCTTCACCTCCCAAAGTACTTTGATAACTGATTCCTTAAAGTTATGATCTATAATCTGCCCATAGTTCTCTGTCAGGAAATGTATTTCAGAAAATGCAGCATTCACCAGCAGAAATCCATCTTTGGCTTTGTTTAAGGAGCATAATCTGTCTTAGTTCATGAGAGTTAACTTGACTATGCCGTTTCAAAGCAACAACAAAAAACACTATAAAATGTAATATACAATCTGCAAACATAAAAAAATGATATTAAGTGACATATATGAGTATTTTTTCACGATATTTTATCTACATCGATAAAAAATGACTTACTACAAGACAGAGATTTGCCCTGCCTAAACATCAGTATGAAGTCGGCTGTTTAAGTGATGAGGAAGAGACAATATGGCAACATGTGGGAATGAAATTTGGGTAAGAACTGACAAAGAGGGAAATCCTCCAGGAGACCCACAAACTCCTCTGTTTACAAAAGTATTGCAGAGCCCAGTAGAAAATCTACAACAGAATGACGACTGTGTTTTCAACAACACTGAGTTTTCTGTAACGGCTTCATGGCACCGAGACTGAGAGAACATTGTGTAAATAGATATAAAATGCTAAAAAGCTGACGTTATATTCAGAGCATCAACATCTTTCCGTTAAGACATCTACAGAAACCGGAATCTCAAAAATTCAAAAATAACTTTCTGTGACTAACCAGTTATGTGGCTGTACTGAGGGACGCTGTAACGGGTGATACAGCAGCCAGGTCGGTGCAATCTGAGAAGCTGATGCCAAGTTCTGAACTGTAGCTGGCGATAAGGTTACTAGGTCCCGCTATCTTAAAACCTCCAGCCTGAACCGTGGCTGGCCCAGATGCTGAGACATAAGTTGCCAGTCAGGTTCTGGGGAGCAGCATAATTTATGTTTTATAGACAACAGGTTGTGATTAATCACTCTGATATGATGAGGAGAAAACCTCATAAAAGATGCTATCAATGTGAGATTGTTCATAAAATGATGTGGCAACTCTGGCATGGCGTCCTGCCTGTTCTGCTCTGTGACAGTGATGTCATCAAGACAAGTTGAGGAGAGGCTGTGCTGTTATGAGACTCACCGGAGTTAGTCATGAACTCAAAGGGTCCGCTAAATTCACCGTAGCCGGCGGCAGTCCGAGCACGCACATGGAACACATAAGAGGTGAGAGGGGTGAGGCCCTTGATGTCCGTGCTTCTGGACGATGTTTTAATGATACGATAGCTTCTTTCGTTCTGGTCCTGAGGATGGCAAAGAGACAATCAGTTACTCAAAAGTTGCTTTTTTGAAACTTCGATCTGTGACCTTCGATCTCATAAGCACCACTTACCTTCTCGTAATACTTGACCTCATACTCCAGGATGACACCGTTGGACCTCTCCGGTGGCTGCCAGGCCAGTGAGATGGTGTGTCTGGTGATGTCCTTTGCCTGGATGGACGTTACTGGAGAAGGGGCTGATTAAAGACAGAGAAAAAAGAAGTATAGTTTACTATTTTTGACTAGTTTAGCAAAGTTATTATGAGAGCATTTTGGAGAAAAAGTAGTAGAAAATGTATCAGTCAATCAAGTTTATTTGTATAGCACACTTCAGCAACAATGCAATTCAAAGTGCTTTACGTCATGAAAATATAAAAACATCACACTGTCAAATATTGTGAAAACCCATAACAGGTATTGCTTTTACGCTAAAACACAAACGGTGTTTTGTGCGTTTGTCACATGTAGTTTTACTTTTGTTCTAGTAAGTTGATGAGGTTAACTTTTAAATAGTTGGGTTTCTTTTCACATATAAAAGAAACCCAATATGTAAAAAAAAAAATATATATATATATATATATCACATATTCTATATATAAAAATAAAACATATAGAATATGCAACCTGTTTACAGGTAAGATGTGTCTGGGGTGGAAACATGTTGCGCTCTGAGTTCATAGAAAACACAAGGAACTTCATCATGTCATTAGTTTGGTTCTCTCAATATTTAATCAAAAAATGGTTTGACAAGTAAACCTAATTGATTTTTATTCCTTACAAAAAAGATGCTTTGTTTATTAGTTTGTTTACTGTACGGCACAATACAACACAGTTGGCTTTGGGAAAACATTTGGGTTTTCCTGGCCATGTACACCCGGTAGCTGTTCTGAATCAAACATAAGCAAAGGGCTCTAGAGTCTGTTTGGAACCGTACCATGACCACCTGCTGCAAACAGTCTCAGTACGGCTATTTCGGTCTGCCCCCTAGTACATAAACAAACTGAAATAAGAGGATATGTGAACCAGAGCTTATTTTAAATAAACTAAACACCTCATATGTGAAAACACGCTTAGTCTGTCAGTGGTTTCTTGACCAACGAGAGTCAATGTTCCTACAAAAAAGGTCATGTTGGCCGAGGGAGCCAGTTGTGTCGAGCTACCTCATAAGCTGCTACTTGCCAGGCCACTCTAAGTCTGAAAATACTCTAAGTCTCTTTAAGTTGCTTTGGAATGATCCCAGCACACCAATAATCAGATAGATTTGCACAATCAGCTATTTAAAACAAGTCAATGTGAAAATATTCTGTAGTGGCCATTGCAGCTTTTACAAGAAATTGTAGTTAAGTTTGTTGCTATTTCTGCTTAGCATTGTTTGCATTTACACACGAGCGTAGGACGTAAATTGCATCACCTGTTTGAGAGCTCATGAGAAAGTCTCCCCTGGCTACAGAATGAGAACAACAGAAACACAGGAATGTTCTGTCATTGACACCGCCGCACAAATGACAGCCTGACGAGAAATCAATTTGCTCCACTGTTTAGAGTAGATGGCAGATTTAGAGTAGATTGATGAGTCACAGATGATCAGGCAGATTGATACAGCCGTTAGCGTCCGTCAAATTAACTTTACCACGTTAGCATGGTTGGTTTTTGACTGATAAAACTACAACAGCCTTGACAACAGTTTCCTATGGATATAAACATTTTCACTTGAGTTTTAAATCTCTAAAATCAGCAAAGGACTTCTTAACTTCTCAACAATCTCACCGGGACATCTACTTACTACAGATGAGGAATTTATTACATCATGATAAATTGACAGAAACACACACAAAAAAGTCTTATCTATCCCTTTAAGTCTACTTTGCACAACACTTTTTAATCTTATTATATTTCTCCTGCTGAGAAAGTCAAAGTTCAGGGCCAGACAATGATGCAATTGTTTTAATGCCTCTCTGAATTTGACTTCCATTCAAAATTGGACGTGCAACACATGAATTGCCAAAGGTGGAGTGTATTTCTGATCTAATGGTGTGATTCAATGAAACCGCCTCAGACACTTTCCTAACTTCATTCATTGCAGATTGCCAGGTCACCCTGAGAAAACCTGCATAGCTACAAAGAGATTGAATGAAGTTAAATGAGCTCAACACCTTCATGTTTTTTTCTCGGCTTTAAACAGAGAAAATCAATTGGTTTTCATTAAAGCTCCAGTGTGTGATCTTATCTTAAGCTCTTTCTGCTGCAGCTGATAATGAGGCCATATTTCAAACAGCAGCGCTGTCTGCGCATAGATGCCTTTAACACGTGAAGGTTAAAGCACAGATTACGGCCTACACTTGTTCCCTCCCCTCGGCGCATCACCGGCACACAAATCACACCTTTATCTTCAGGAGGTGTGACAGGGCCAAAATTGGGTTATGCACACTCTCATTGTTACAAAGGAGAATTTAGGGCTATGGGAGAGATAGTGTTGAAAGCGAGAGGAACTCTTAAGGACTCAGTTGGAATCAGACAAGAAGGAATGACAGATGATCTGCAGTGAGAAAAAGAAGAAAACGTCTCCAGCACTTTCGAGGAAAGCTAATTTATTTTTCCACAGCAGCTAAAACAAAAACATGTCCACAAACCGCCAGGTAACCTCATGTCGGACATCTGTTCTTCAGGGTCCAAACGGAGGGAATCTTCGACCTCTGCCCCTCTGCGATTACTGTAACCTTACTCATTCCAGACCATCTGCCTTTTAAGAAATTACAGTGGGATGATTAATGAGGGGACCCCGATCCACCGATTATGATTGGATTATCTATGACACTATATACATTCTCATCACTTTGACTGGGGACTCCAGGGAGGAGAACCTTCAAGTTAAGCCTAACAAACCCCCTGCTTTTAGTCAGGGATTGAGTTCAAACGGGCCTGGAATTCAAGCACCAGCCATGGATTGGGTTTCATTGAGCTGAAGAAGCAGCAGCAGGAGGAGGGAAGGAGTCAGGCAGACGGTTTGGGGTGGGTGGGCGTCTTGATGGAGATGGAGAGGGATGGAATTGCAGACATCACTTGGTAAAAGGATTAACCCGAGGTTGTGTCATCCTGTTGGCCTAATGTGTGGCGTCTCTGTTAAACAATTAGATGGTGGCCATTTGTATCCCTCCCAATCAATCTTACCCGGCAGCGAGAGGCAATTTAAAGGCCCTCATGGGGCTGACCGAGAATCCACTGAATCAGAAAGGAAACACCTGAGAGGTCGGGGGGCTTAATTCCCCAAAGATCATCCCAGCATCAATCTTTCCTCCAAAGATGACAGATATGGCGACGTAATCGTGTTCCGCTGCTCTTGTTGCACTTTTTATTTTTCCCCTGACCAATGTGAAGATAAAGATGAGTGATTTCCTGAGTGGTTTCCCTTCCAGGCTCCTCATCTGACTTTGCAGATCAGATGCAAACAAAATAATCTATCAAGGTTAAATTTTATAGCATGTTGAGATGAATTAGACAGATTAGATGTCAGAAGAGAAAAGAGATATAAGGTCAGATTTGAATTATTGTGAAGTCTTGTACAAAACATCTACACAGACACAATTGTGGTCAAAACAGATATAAATGTCACATTAGTTTTGGCCTTTTAATAGATTATTCAACCTTAGAAATATTCTAAACTAGAATTGGTTGCACAAGTTTTAGCATATTTAAAATTTTCTAAAATTCAGACAGGGTCAAAATTATGCTCAAACATGCACAAGCCTACTTACATATTGATTCCTACAAACATACTTCCACACACTTTTCATAAAAATGCTTCTGGCCTAAATCTAACTGGATATTTGTCCAGGCTGCTTAGCACAATTGGTGGGGTTCATTGAAACAGACTGTTCTGGCACAACCCCAACTTTTCAAACAATTACTCTACAAATATTTAACAGGGTTAAGGTCGGGGCTTTGAGAAGACTTGGGGAAGCTTAATCTAAGTCTTCCAACATCTGCCTGAGATCATGGTTCTCCTGAAACACTCATTTGGGTCTCATCTGACCCAAAATGTTACTCTTAGATGACAGGAAGTTCTGGATCAGCTAAAGAACTACTAAGGCAAGGAAGCCATAAACTGGAAATTGTAAGAAGGAAATCATCATCGTCAACGTTGAAGCTGTTGAAGCATCAGCATGGACTGAAATGCTACATCCAGATCCAAAATCAGCACCTGCATGCTCTCCATAAGTTTGCAGCTGCTCTTATTGATGAGGCAAATCCTTTCCAGAATAAGGTTTCATGATCACAGGAGACAAAGACTGAACTTTCTGACCCCAGTGACAAGAAGTATCTTTGGATTAGTCGAGGTGAGGCGACCAAATCTGGGGACGCTCTACCACCTGTTAGGAATGGTAGTGGCAATGTCAGGTTGGGGTTTTTTTTCTGCCAGTGATACTGGTGATTTCCTCAAAATGGATGGAATAATGAAGACAACATCTTCATTTTTCAACTTCAGATCAATTCATCAGCTAGAACGCTGAGACCTGGACACAGTTGAGTATTCAAACATGAAAATTACTGCACAGTTTAAATACAAACTGGCTGTGGAATAAATAAAGCAGTGAAACAGCTTCGGTAATGTCCGTGACATTTATTTTATTGAGTATTTATGGACTGTGACTAAAAGTAGACTCCCTCAACTTGGGTTGTGCTGCGCTCTTTCTGATAAAGCAATAGCTGAAATTACGAGCCACATCAATGCCAGAACCTTATTAAACAGCTACAAAATGTGTCTGTATGGTTTCTCTGCATCTTTTTAAGAGACGTTGAACCAAATATTAGTGAGAATTCAGATATCTATGTTCAATTTCTATCCTGTGTAGATTTAAGAAAGCCCACAATAAAACCAAATTCTTGTTTTTTATTCATTGAACTTGCATCCTTACCAACACATTATTGGGTCTTTTATACCTTAAAAAACCCAATGTTTGTAAACATCTGACTAGGACTGTGAATTTGAATAAACATTTTACCTGTGACTGTGTTTCAGAAGGACCACATAAGACTTTAAAGCACCCAGTAGGTGAATTTACATATGTGGGCCAAGGCTGCAATTTGTTACAACCTCCTGGAAGCGTGGGCAAACTGAGGCAGTTTAATAATAAGTGTTAGACATAATGAATATTCACATCTCATTTCAGGATTGGAACACTAGCACTACAGACAAACA